CTGATGGGTTAGCCAAGCAAGGGGTGCTTAAGGATTCTTTGTTTTGGGCCACTTTTTAGCTTTCTTTCTTGTTCTCTGTTGTGGGGGAGTTAAGATATTTTACCTCCCCTCTCTTGTACTTAAAGTTTCACAATTTTTATAATCTAATAAAGCATTCTGTTATTGACCAAAAAAAATATAAGGAATTGGAGGGAGGAAGCACTTTCCTCTAAGTTAAGAGAAGAAATAAGAAGAGAATGGAAACCCCCAGTAGGTGCTAAAATAAAACTGAACTTTGATGGAAGCTCGTTGGGCAACCTAGGGTTGGCAGGAATAGAGGGTGTAATGAGAAACTCGGAGTGTAGGATACTGGCTTTATATTCAGGGCCAATTGGTACTGCAATTCTGCAAATTCAGTGGAGGCAGTACTTTTGGCACTTCTACAGGGGCTCAGGCTTGCAAAACAATTGGGCTTCAAACAAGTGGAGGTGGAAGGGGGCTCAAAAATCATTATTTTGTAGGCAAGATGTAAAAGACATATCCCATGGACCCTCAAACATGTTTTCAGGGAAGTGGAAAGGATAGCAAAGGACCTAAATGCTGAGTTCAAATGGGTTAGAAGTGCAAATGGACTAGTTGACTCCCTAGCAAAACAAGAAGCTGTAAGATAACATTTGTACTGGGTTTCTTTGTAAATCAGCTTATGTACTGTGGAGACACTTTTGTACTTATTCCCTTCCAATCAATATAATAATATAAATTTTGCTGATAAAAAAAAAAAGATCTCATGAARACTTATTAACTAATTTAATGTTCCTAGAAAACTTTCTTGACTTTTTAGATTTTCCAAACATCTTAGCAAAAGACCTCCACAATCCTACATAGCAATATGTTCATTGATTTTGATAATACAAACCATGCTTGTACACTAGAAGCCTAGGATGATATAATCATGTTTTAACTTGAAAATCAATAATCCACATACAGTGATCAATGGCTCTTTAACCTACATATGATGGAAAATGAACTTATTATCGGGTCTTAAATAACCTAAATTTTCTAGAAAGGGCTCTAAAACAAGTCTCCCTTGACAAAACAAAATAAAAGCAAAGAAATGACAAAGTCGAGAGCTAATTCTTGATTGAATTGATTTGAGTCACATGAATCATATAAATCATGAGATTCCTAAATCAAATTGTAAGATTTAAATAAAAGCGTAAGGTTTTTACAAAAGGGGTTCAAACATAAGATTCAAACCAAAAGCCTTGATATTCATGATTCAAGTTGTGAATCATATCATAAATTGTAAGATTTTCACAACACTGACCAAAAAGAGAGAGTTTATAGATAGATAAGCTAACAAAAAAGCGCAAATATCATTTTAGAATGAGAAGATAGCAACAATCAGTTGTATCTAGCAAGTCAATCCAGTTAAGTGCCACCAAACCTGCTTGACAATACTAGATCGCCTATCAGATAGTTGTGTGCTCAGAGGAGCAACAAGTTGCTTCAAGAGTGCAGGAAAACAAGGATAATCAGCACCACCTGATAGGACATTAAACAAAGAAGTATCATTATTTTTCTAACCTTAAATATTATGTCATAATGTAACKGGAGATTAACAGAATGAAAACAGTAGAAGATCTCTTAGAACAACTAATAGAAGTAAGTTGAGAGCAAACTAATCAGTTCTCAATAGCAATCAACTAGAGAGAACAATAAAAGAAACTTCATTCCTTTTTTGCCTTTAGTAGTTGAGGTTTTTGGGCAGATTTGTGCAGTTTTTAGTAGTTGTTTTGTTTATCTTTTGTTTAGATAGGAAGTGGGGACCACAGCACTCTTGTTGGGTCCCTTTTTCAGTAGTTCTTTTAAGTTATTTATGTTGTTTATGTGTTAACCTATAAGGACATATTAGTCATTGTACCCTTTTTTAATTAAAAGTATAAATAAATACTAGTGAGGAGGGCGGCCAGAATTATTGCTCTCTTTATTTCTCAATCTCTTCTCTTCTCTTCCTCTTCTCTTCTCCTTCTCTTCTTCTTCTTCAAGAAATATCCTTTTTCTTTACAAATTCTTGATTCAGCAGTTTTCTACTTGGTATCAAAGCAAGACTAGGGTTTCTTGGAGTTCTTCCATGCAGTCCTAGATCAGTCGATTGCATGAGGAGATAAAGGGCTGATCGATCTACTTCAGACTGCCCAGTTCTTGGATTTTTTTGGTGGGTTTCAATCATCAAGAGGGTGATCTATGTTTTTGCATGAAAAACAGGAAGAACTGGAGTGTGGAGAAGAGTCCTAGTCAAGTTGGACTCTTCAATTTTGATCTGATATTGGGCACTTGGACCTTGTTGGACTTCTCTCTAGGATTGATATAGGGGGTGGTTTGGTTTCTAGGAGGTTCTGAGCCTTCTAGAGTGATCGATTCACTTTTCTCTTCAGTGGGAGACGGTGGGAGAAGAGGGATTTCTCTTCGGCTAGGCTTTTCTTCTTCCAGTAAGGTCTGTTACCCTTGTGTGTGAGATCGATTTATCTTGGAGGCTTTCTACCTAGTTATTTCTTGTTTTTGAATTATTTGAAGTTGAAATGGAGAATTGGAGTACCGAGCAGAAGTCCACTGTAGGAGGTGCTAGTGATATTTTTGGGTCTGGAACTATTGCCACAATGAAATTAGATGGTACAAATTATTTAGAATGGGCACAATCAGCCAAGATGGTCATTGGTGCTCATGGGAAACTGGGGTACATCACTAGAGAGGAGAAGAGAATTACATGGTGATGTTCTGGCTGTGTAACTCTATGTTACCTCACCTTGGTAAAATTTTTTTGTGGGCTAATACTACAAAGGAGATTTGGGATGGAGTGACTGAAACCTATTCCGAGAAACAAAGTGTAGCTAGAGCCTATCAGTTAAGGAATCAGGTGATTAATACAAAACATGGAGATAAACCTCTTGCTATGTGTTTCTTCTCCATGCTAAAAACGCTTTGGCAGAAAATAGATCACTTAGAAACTGTGGTTTGGGAGAGTACAAATGATACAACAACCTATCAGAAGTTGGTGGAGAAGAATAGGGTCTTTGAGTTCTTAGTTGGATTGAACCCTAAATTTGATATTGCCAAACAATACATCCTTTCCAGAGAAAGTGTGACTCTTTTTTAAGCTTATGCCTTTGTTTTTGGAGAGGAGAGCAGAAGGAATGTCGAGACAGCCTGGGATTGACCAGTCGGCTATGATTAGTACAGTCAAATCTAAGCCGAATGGAGACAGGGGGAGTAGTGAGACTAGGAGGGAGGATAAGGACTTGGTGTGTGACTATTGCAAGAAGGCTAAGCATACCAGAGACACTTGTTGGAAGCGCTAGCCACATTTCATACAGCTCGGGTCAAGAACAAGAAAGGAAATGCAAATGTGGCAATTACAGGA